CCACTGCACTCTACTGGAGAGACTCAGACCTACACCTCTGTAAACCATGGGCAGTATACAGCTAAAAGCGCAGATGCTCCATCTTCTCCAGTGGTATGGCCTGCATTTTTGGAGCAGGATGTTCTGTTCCAATAGCCACCATGACATTCCAAATGGCCATGGTGTGTAAAGTCCTAGGTTGCAACAGTTTAATGAATGACACAATGAAATGAACACAACCCAAATCCATTTAAAACTGCAGATGTTTGGCAACTGGAATAGGATTAGCCAACTTGGCTACAACTTCAGAGCTAGCGCCCCTGCTCTTGAGAAGGGTGTCAGGGGATTTTAATGGCCAGGCGTGTTGTGTTTATTTTTTTAAAGGAATGATCACAGCTCCAGCAACACAATGTCCTTATTATCATGCTGAGGCAATGGTCAGGACTGACTCACATGGCCGACTCATCAAAACTACTTCAGCATCCTGGATTTCCCATGGCAGCCTCCCATTAGAGAAATGAAAAGGCCCAAACCATGCTTAGCGTGAGACTGAAGAGCGTGAGCTATCCGATATGGCAGAATCCATTCAAAATTGCTCTATATGAGTATTTCTCTTAGGTCAATAAAAATCATTACCAAAACTCTTTAATACCATTTTCCATCAGTGATTTAAAAGGTTTTGCACGAATGGATTTACAAGTGACAACTTAGAAATTCAAGAATTAACTGAGATGGAGGGGAAAGTGTTTCTATTTGTTTCTGGTTTTCGCACTACAGGCTAATACCTGTGTTCCCAAAGCAATACACTACTCGCTGACTTTCTGCCGTTTCCATGGTACAAATCCCTTCCAAAAATAAAAACATAAAATATTCACTCTTGGTATTAGTTGTATGGATTATAAAGCAAGTCACTTAACCTCTGCTCTTCTATCTGCAAATTGGGAGAGATTATGGTGGTTTACATCTGACAGATAGCAAAGGACCAGTCTGGAACTAAATTCATGAAAGATTAGCCTTGGATGGATGGCTCTATAGGAGAGTGAAATATTGTAATTAAAACACATAACCAAGATGCTTCCCAAAGACTGTCTGAAATAAAAGACTTTCAAACATACTTCATAAAAGGACTAATTCTTTGGCTTTCCATGGTGCTCCTCCAGTACCTTAAAAATCCTGGGCTGAGGCATAATGATATATAGGTAGCCAGCCTATGGAGGTGGTTAAGTATTTCACAAAGCAATGATACAATGATACAGCTATTTCAACTGTTATTAAAACACATACTTACCGCATAGCACTTATCTGAACTGTTCTTTATTTTCTTTAATCAATATTCTGATATGCTGGACTTTTTGACTAATTCACTAGGGGTGGAATTTTCCAAATGTGACAGTCTCCTGAAAAATCCCACCTTTTGTTTGTAGGTCACTATGGCTCTTCTGAAAAATCACCCCCTAAACAGCCTGGTTCAGTATGAACTTCTGGCATGCTCTGATTGCTTATACTTAGACCAAGATTTTTCAAATATAGGATTCGGGAGCCCTATTTTCAGGCTTCTGTTTTTGAAAATCTTGGCCTTTTTTTGCACTGAAGCCAGTTTTTTTCTAAGGTTAAAATCTGCTTTAAGAACATCACTAAATAATTATAACATTAGCTCTGATGCATTTGACATTATCAGTTACAGATAGAAATCAAGGACATACACACTTTGTTCAAAAACAAGGAGAGTAGGTTAACAGAAAATAAAAATTGTGTTTGTGTAATGTCAGATGTTGCTACATGCTTTTCACTGACTTCTTTGAGTAACTCATTGCACAGGTTTCATCAACAATTGTATGTGCAACATCCTTAGGGTAAATTAAATTTAAAAAATACCTAAGGAACAGTTTATTTCATACCAACAGACATTGCAATACTTGTTGTTAACACCTGAAATTAAAACAGTTCTTAAAACAAAAAGAAACACCCCTCCTCCCCCACTTCTACTGCATCTCTCATTTCAGTTTAGCAAGAAAATTAAAAAGACGGCATGAATATGCAGAATCATAGTGACTACTGTACTTCACTTTTCCATTGTGTTTGTAATATAATTTCCTCTTTCATAATTTTATCACAATATTTTCAAAAACATCATCACTTGACGTGGCCCCAAGTAACCTCAGCTAAAGGAGCTCCAGATTCTTTTGCAAGACTGATTTATAGTGTCGTTTTTGTGAAAAGTCTCTTATGGGCAAGTCTCTTATGAGTAGCCATAGCCTTGGTTTTATATAATAACCTACATTTACTAGAGACAGACTATATATACATAAAAAAAGTGTCATGAGCTAGATATTTAAAGTAATAAGAATCACCACTATCATCAGAAAAAAGGAATGTAAACTTACATGTCTGTTTCACGTTTCAACTTCCAGGTTCGTTTCAGATTTATTTGACATAGGAAAAGCTCAGTGCAGGTTTGTGGGATTAAAGTGTATGTTAATTACAAGTGGGATCTATAAAATATTTTTAGTGCTGGTAAAATGGTCTGATTGTGCACCATTGACATCCATGGGAATTATAACCAACTTCAAAGTGAGGATGGGCAGGGACATAATGTGAAACGTTATATATTTATTATAATAACGGGTGGATTAATGTGATCGTGGTATGCTCTTGTCTTTAAGCCTGTGAATAGTCTCATTGCTTTGCTGGATCAGGTTTTAAGTGAAATAATAAGATTATTTTCTCACTGTGTGTCCAGTTCTAATAGCTCCATATTAGGATGGCTAGTATCTGCATAGGAAATTTTCTAACTGCAGAATTAATGGTTCAGCCTGACTTACATTTGCTAGTGACCATGGTTCAACAACTTTACAAATTTTGAACAAAAATCACTTGTAAATTTCTTCATCACATAAAAATGTTCTCTGCCCATCTCTAGGAGCCCTGGCTCTGGGGCAGTCGGCCAGGTACATGAACTGGCAGGAAACCTACCTGGCAGGTCATGTTCCACAGGAACCCTGCTTGGTTTCTGGTGGAATTTCATCAAAATCAACGTCTTCACAAAGCGCTTAGGTTTCAATTCAGCAAATTCCAAAGGAAAAAAGTTTCATTAGAACTTTTCCAACCAACTCCAACAAACATCTGTATAGCAACTTACATCCAAAACACTCTCAGTGTATAATACACAAACTATATGGAGGGATTGTAAAACGCCCCCCCCCCCCTTCTGGGATGGGAGACACCAGCAGTTGAAAAAGTGCACAGCAATTCCTCCCAACAATTCAACACAAAGTGAAGAATCCAACTGAAGCAGGGAGACTTAAATGAAGTTCTACTGAGAGAGGCACCCAATATTTTCTCAAAGCTAAAGTGTAAAGTCTTAGTGCTCCTCACTGAATGACTGTGTAGACATAAGGGCCTGATCAACTTCCATGAAAATTGAAGGGCACCTCTTCAGATCAGCCCTGGATGAAGAGATTCTGAAAGCTGAAGCTGTGATTAAAACTTTCCCACCACTCCTCCTTTGTGGCTGTGGTTACCAAAGCCCCTTCTTATTATTAATAACTTGTATTACTGTAGTAAATAGGAGCCCAACCCTGGACAAGAATCCAATTGCGTTAGGCGCTGTACAAATACATGGTTAATTGCCTTTTAATGAAAAAGCCAAACAGATAGCACAAAAAAGTGACCAGATACTATATTAATAGGTGAGCTATGAACAACTTAGAGCTACTAAAAAGGCAAATTGTACAGTTATTTCTACAAAAAGTAAAAAGCAGCACAATCACAGAGAAGTTATATGGAAAGCAACTGTCCTGCCTGTACCAGACAAAGAGAAAAAGTGAAAAGAGAAATCTAGGCAGCCTAAGAAAATGATACAGAAATTTCATGGAACCTAAAGCCTTAAAAAATAAAGCAGCTACTTCATTTTAAAAACATGAAGGGAAAACAGTGGAGAAAATACACTTTTTCCTGCAATTTGCTTTTTTTTTTATTTTTTAAATGCAAAACTCATTTGACCTAGTAGGTATGTGTTTTTTTAAATAATGTAATGATTATGCTTTCATGAGTATCATAGCATTATTTCAAATTAGAAAATGCATAGTAACTCTAGACTAGAGTTTCCACAACTGAAATTTACACTCAAAGTCAAAGAAACACAACCCACAACTTTAAACCAACTTTGTGACTTTTATTGATGGGCGACAACTTTATACTCCTAGATATCACTAAACTGTGTACAATTAAGAACTCAACATTATAGGAGAGCAGACAGCAAAATTAAACAAAGCAGACTTAAAGAAATATCAATCTTCATTATTTTGCCCATTTTTTAAAATCTTGTGTACACAGAAG